TGCCCCAAGAGGCCCAGGAGGACCCCAAGAACTCCCCAAGATGGCCCCAAGAGAACTCCGACAAAACGCTACCAAGGCGGCTGAAACACTGCATGCTTCTACACGTCCCTGATCAAGGCAACTCGCCTGGCGATCTGTTTCTGGATGGGCTGGTGGGGATACGCGAAGCGTCAAGAGTTGCTCGCTCTGGATGTCTGCTGTGCACGACGTGTCCTATGGTGTACGCATCTTGAAGGAACCAGCGATTTTTCGGGTCGAACGAAAGGGGGTAATAACGGAGGGGTTAACGAATCAACTCAGATAGCTGATTTTCCCGGCGGTGGAGGCGACACCAGCTGCATGCAGCAGATGACGCAGCCTCGCCCCTTTCCCTATCCCTCCCAGTTCGTCCGACCTGAAACATGCGACCTCCCCTCGCAAGCCCAATAACAACCAAGTTGGCAATACCTGGCTCTGCCTACTTGGTGCCTGGCTGCCTTCCACAGCCGAAACGGATTCGGGAGAGCCAGATCCACAGAGCACTCCCACGGCTCACGTCGGTGCCAAAACTGCACAGGATGTTGCCAAGATGCGCCCACATGCCCCGACACCGCCGAAGATGACATGCGAGACGACCGTGGTGGCCATCCATAGCAGGAGGTATGTCGACCCCTATCCCAAGCTTCGTGGGGTCTCGAATGGACAAGGCACACGATGGGGGGCGCCCATCCTCGACATGGGGTGCGTCCGAAAAGCCCCCCTGGGGTGTATCCCAGGGTTCCCCTCCTTTTCTGAGCGGTGCCATGTCTCGTCGAGTCGGGGGCAGGGGGAGAAACATCGCCTGCGGATCGAATCCGTGCAGACCGACTGTAGCATCCGTGGCGTCGCCTCGTCGCCGCCCTGAGCACCAGCCAGCGTTCCCCGAGGGTCGCCCCGTGGCCGCCCGTCGCCGCCTCGTGCGCCGCGGCTGGCGCTCCTGGGCTGTCACGCGGTGACCGCACGCCGCCATTTCGGAACCGCCCCGCGCGCAGGCCTGCGGTTCTCGCCGCACGGCCAGAGCGCCTCGGGAAGTGGTTCGCATGCCACGACCACACGGATCCGACCAGATAGATTGCACAAGTGGATATATGTGTATATTTGCATGTACGTTTGTACGTACGTATGTATGTATGTATGTATGTATGTAGGTGTGTATGTGTGTATGTATGTATGTGTGTATGTATGTATGTGTGTATGTATGTGTGTAGTGTGTATGTATATATGTACGCATGCATGCATATTGCACTCCAGGGAAATCCTCATGCCTCTCCATCGCGAAAGCCCCCGAGTCATGAACCCACGAGAGGCCAGCGGCAGATCTCGACGCCTTTCAGACTACGAGCGGCTGCCAGATAACGAAGACCTTACGTATGATGACCTCGGATAAAACGTATACAAAGAGAAAGAGAGAGAGAGAGAGAGAGAAACAAAAAGAGAGAGAGAGAGAGAGAAGGAAACCGCGCGGGCAACCACCGCACCCATTCTGGAGCCGCCACCACCAGCACCACTAAGCCGAGCATCCGGAGGGACGCGTGGGCAGAAAAGCGCGCGATTGGCAAATTTTCGGAAAAGACGAAAAACCGCGACAGAAGAAGGAAAGGAGGTGGAGGACAAAACAAAAACATCTCAGATATGCTGCGCTGTCTTGTACACTTCGGTTGCCCACTGCTGCCGCGGTCGGCCGCGTCTCCGGTGCACCGCCCAATTCTTGGGAGTACCATCGAGATCACATAAGCATTTGGGCACCAAAGAAGAAGGACCACTTGCTGCGATTTTTAGATACAGCTTTTCTTGCCTTCTAAGCAGAATAAGAGAAAGAGGTTTGGTGCTAGCTCTGTCGATGACGTCTGCGTTACTCACGCGCGACAGCTACGAGCGCGGTGCGCCCAAGATGCGCCGCAGGCAGCGGCAATGAAATGCATTTATCTGCCTTTAACAGCCACGGAAAATCAAGTGGATGCACCCGTGTGCTAAAAAAACAACGCTTTCGTACAACTTGAACTTTCGTTTCCAGCCAACCGCGGTGCGCGACCATATGTTTGCCAACTTGTTGCAGATGCCCTGCGCTTCCCCCAGGCGGCGGGTGATTTCCGGAGTTGCTGTACCATCGCGACTGATCACCCCTCCTGGGTAGACCACTTCCCGGACGGCGTTGATAGGACCACCGTCAGGCCGGACAACCAAGTCATTGGTAGCAATATGCATGTGGAGTGTTTTGTTCCAGTTAAGCTGGAGACCGTATTTACGCGCCTCCGTCACAATAGCATTCAGCATGCTCTGGACGTTCGTCTTGCTCTGCGATGCCAGCAACGTGTCGTCACCACGTAGGCGGGGGCAGCCTCGAAATCGATCTCCTCCAAAACGTCGTGCAACATGACCGACTGTACTGCAATAAACAAACATGGGGCAAGAAAACATCCCTGCGCGATGCCGGCCTGCTGCTGTCTTTCTGTGGACTTTCCCGTGTGGTCAACGATCGTGAAGTAGCGCTAGGCGTAAATAGCTTCTATCATAACTACCATGTCCGATGGAAGCCCGAACCGTTGTAGAGCGTCGCGCGTACTTGATGATTTCAGTCTGTCAAAAGCCTTCGCCCAATCCAACATCAACAAGATAAAGCCACCATTCTTGGTAGCGTGTGCCGCGTCAGCGATGCGCCGTACCAGCGTGAGAGCGTCGGCTGTCCCACGCCCAGGGCGAAACCCAAATTGTGACCCTCGCATTCTGGATTCAGTTCCACCTCGAAACAGACGTCGGTGCAACATGGACGCGAGAAACTGATATGCAATTTGTAATAAAGAAATTCGTCTGTAGTTCTCTGGACGAGTGAATTCTCCTTTCTTGAACAAAAGAACTGCGTTCGCACGCCTCCAAGATGCAGATCAAAATTTTTGTTCCCCACACTTTTGGCACAACCGAAACATAATTGCAGAGGCTTCCGGGTCCGACCCCTACGTTCTCCAGAAATTATGCGGAGCCCCATCAAGTCCAGCAACTTTGCCACGACGTAGCCGGCGAAACGCTTCGACGAGTTCTTCCATGATAAACGGACCCGTGTTGATAGGCAGCTGATTGCCTAGGGGTGGGCGTGGCTCTGGAGTGCTTTCTGGGAAACGAACTTGCCATTGAACGTCTTCGAAGTAGTCGGCCAACATATCTGCTCGTTCAGCTGTGTCTGCAAGAGTTCCATCAGGACGCTGTGTCGACGCGTGCTTGATACTTGTGGGTGTTTTGAGGTGTCGAGCTGCTTCCCACCCTCCCCTCTGTATCAATGAATCCAGCCAGTCTCTGCGATCTTGTGCCCCTGATTTCCGTATCACTCGATGGAACTATTCTTCCGCATTGTGGTCGCCGCTTGAACGTGCTTGCTTGCGTTATTCGATCAAGTCGAGCGTGCGCTGGCTAGTCCACGCCTGCTTGGGGCCCACTTCTCGTTTGGGCACCACTTCAGTCGCCTTTTTCAAAACCATGTCGAATCCAATTGTTAACCACATCAGCCGAATCGGTATCATTATATATTGAACTGCATAACATATTTTGTGTACGGATCTCTGAGGCTCGACTTGTCCATGAACTCTTCATTTGGGGACTCTTCGACTCTGAATGCCAAATTGGATTCCAAAATGGTGAGGTAATGATGTGCGTTCAGCATGTCCTGCCGGCTCGTCCAGATATCCTTGACGGTGTGAACAACGCTGCGATGGCATAACACGTGGTCAAGCTGAACGAACTTATGTCAAGATATGGCATCGTCTGCGGGAGATACGCCGAGATTCCTGAACGAGATCTTCATGCTGTCTGGATGGTCGTAGTAAGTATTCGCCACCTGGAGGTCGTAGGACGTACACATTTCCATCAAGAGCTGCCTGTTTGAAACAACGGCTGGCACCGACGTATCCTCAACATCACGGCACTCAAACACGTGAGGTCCAATAATGTTCTGCTCTCCGGCTCCGACCCGTGCTGCGTGCGCCAGGCTGTGGAAATCAGGTTCCCTACCAAACTGCGCATGCGCAGGCCATCATTCAGAGCAATCCAGAATCTGGAACTCCTGATCTGGATTCCAGATCAGGAGATCAGGTTCCTGGAATTCAGCTTCGCAACCGAAACGTGGGAGCTGGCCACCACGGCAAGATGTCCAGCTTCCCGCCAGCTGGTCACAACAGAAGCACCCGCTGAGTGCGATCAATCATTCAAAAATGTCCGACATCGACTTCCCAACACACTCAAACCTCCGAGTCGTGACTTTTTCGAAACACGGGTCCCCAGGTTTGTCGACTCCGTCCAGAGGGCCGATTCCTCACCCTGACCATGTTTGTGATGGTGCTGGGGGGGCTGACCTACTGCATCAGAAAAGAATAAAACACCAAATGCGTCATATGTACCTTGCTCGAACCGCCGGATGTCTGCGTTCACCCCACAGGTCTCTGTAGACCTGTCCCCGACGTCTGTACCAGCTTGTCCAGTAGGTTGGAAGAAGGTATTGCTCTCCCCATCATGATTGCGACTGGATGCGTTTGCGTTTGCTGCGTCCACTCCAAATTCCGTCGTTCAAATCTTGCCACCGCACTCCTCCATCTCCCACCTCCTTCCTCATCTGACCTTTTCAATCCTTTCGTCCATTCGCTTTCTCCTCCTCCATCCCCATCCATTTCTCCTGCTCATACCTTCTCCCCCCTTTCGTTTGTCGTCCCTCCTCTGCCTCCTTCCTCATTCTCGCCACTTCTCTTTCTTCCTCTTTCCATTCCTCCCTCCCTCCCTCCCACTCTCCCTCCCTCGTTCCCTGCCTCCCTCCTCATCCTCCCTTCCCCCGCGCTCCTCCTACTGCTCCTCATCCCCACTCGACGACGACAAATACAACAACGATGACGAACGCGACAGTGTAAACGGCGACGAACACGACGAGCAGGACACGACGGCGGCAACGACAACGACGGCGACGGCGACACACGACGACAACGGCGACCACCGACAGCGGCGGCGGCGATGGCAAAACGGCGTTGAGACGACGGCGACGGCGACGGCGACGGCGACGGCGACGACGACGACGACGGAGCCCGCAGCTGGCATTTCTCGCGCGCCCTGGCAGCGAGCGCGCGAAGCCGCGCATCCGGGCGCGAGTCGGCGGGGGCAGGTCGCCTGGCGCCCGCCAAACCGGAGGCGCGCGCGCGGCCGGGTGGGCGCGAGGGAGAGGTGGGGCGAAGGAGCTGCCTGGCCCGAGGCCCAACGACCAGAGATCGGGACCCCAGGTCAGGAAGCGACTGCTGGGAGGTCTTCGTCGGAAAGACTAAGGAGGATTAAGCGGGGATTGCGGGGCTACTACGCCAGAATGGGCCTCGGATTAAGCGGGATGAAGCTGGATCAAGCGGGATTAAGCCGGATCAAGCCGGATTAAGCGGGACTAAGCCGGATTAAGCGGGACTTCGGACCAAGGCAAAATCAGAATGGGCCTCGGATTTAGCGGGATTAAGCCGGATTCGGCGGGATGAAGCGGGATCAAGCCGGATGAAGCGGGATTAAGCCGGCCTAAGCCGGACTTCGGACCAAGGCAACATCAGAACTTGACCTCCCAGGAGCTGCATCCGACCCCAGGTGCGCTCATGTCGTGAAGAAACCTGCCCCTCACCTCCAAGAGATGTGGGGCCCCAGATGGGACGGAATCCCACCAGCCCTCTGGGCGTAGGTGGTTGAACGGATCTTGTCCTCTCTCTCTCTCTCTCTCTCTGCCCAACCCCCTCCTTCCCCTGCTCGGGGGAGGGGTTTATTACTGCCCCCTTTTAATTCCCCAATTAGGCTTGCCAAAGGGGCTCTTACTTGCTTAAGAATTAACGCAACGGAAAGGTACTTTGCCCGCTCCTCGGAGATTCCTCGGGTTCCCCGCCCCAGATACCTCCTATAATTACGGTGCCCGTTCCTCGGAGATTCCACGGGTTCCCCGGGTTCCTCGGGTTCCCCGCCGCCACCAAACCAGACTCGACCGTGTCACGCATTCGCTGTTGCACGCACATGCAATCATGCCACCACGTCGATCTCCACCATGTGACGCGTTCGGAGATGCTCGCAGCCGTGTGGCTCAAGCGCTCCCGAGGGCTCTGGGAGTGCCATCCGCCCGGTCGCGACGCCACCACTTCCACAAAGCGGCGCGGAAAAGCCAGCAACCCGGAACAGCGCAGATGTGTTCCGAGAGGACGACTCGGCGATCCGACGCATGGATGACGCACGCAATGCTAAGCTGTACCAGTTATGCCAAACAATGCCAAGCAATGCCAAGCAATGCCGAGCAACGCCAAACAATGCCGAGCAATCGCACGCAACGCCGAGCAACGCCAAGCCATACAAAGCAACGCCAAGCAGTGCAAAGCCACGCAAAGTATTGCAAACCACTGCCAAGCAATGCGCCCCATGCAATAGGACACTTTCCCCTAATTGGCGTCGCGGGACGGGGGAGGGTGTCAGCAGATTGCCTGCTGTGCATCGGGCACCATCCTGTCAACAAAACCATACACACATTACTTCGCGGCTAAATCTGGATCGTGTGCGGCCACCCAGCGATCACCGCATTGCCAAGTGCTTTATGACAGAGACGGCGGGGGTGGTGGCGTATGGCCTGCTGTGCGCAGTCCCACCAGACGCAATGACGGGAATTAGTTTTTGACAAGGATGGTCGGGCCCGACACGCTTCCTGCTGTGTGCCGTCACGTGCGTAGGGGCACCTGAAACACTCTGCACGTGCCCCGAACGTGGCGCACCTGGCGCGGCTGGAGTATGCGGCACACCTGGCGCACGTGGCGCATCAGGCGCACCAGGCGTGTTTGGCACGCTCGGGTCCCAGGAGTGCCTGGCGCGCGTGGCGCGCCTGGCGCGCGTGGCGCGCCTGGCACGCGTGGCGCACCTCGCACCAGCGTCGCGCACATGGGGTCGGTTTGGTTCCCAGTAGCTGCCCATTTAAAGACGACCGCTGAACATGATGAGGCTCGCCCTGCCCTCTCCCCTGGGCCTGGGAGGGGGGGCGCGGGTAGTTAGAGCGCCCAAGATGGCTTCAAGAGGACCTCAGAGAGCCCAAGATGGCCTCCAAGAGTGCTCAAGATACCAGATAATCGTTCTAGATAGCCTCCGACACACATCCAAGAGGCATCAAGACGGCCCCAAGACGGTCTCAAGTGCCCTCCGAGCCCTCCAAGGACCCCCCAAGAGGCCAACATCCTTCAAAAACAGATGGAACAACCAGGTGTGTTCCCTTCTCGTCTTTTCATTTCCAATGAGATCTTGAGGCCTCAAGATGGCCCCAAGACGGCCCAAGAGAGCCCCAAGAGGGGCCCAAGAGGGGCCCGAAGAGGGCCTCAAGAGCGCCCAAGAGCGCTCCAGGAGCGCGCCCCAAGAGGGCCCCAAGACGCCCTTTTTGAGCCTCCGAGGGGGGGGCTGAATCTGCCCCCCCCCCCCCCTTTTTGAGCCACGGGGCCCAAGACGGCCCCAAGAGGCCCCCCAGACCCCTCCAAAGAGCTCCAAGACGGCGCCTAGACCCTCCAAAAGAGCCCCATGAGGGCCCCAAGACGCCGTTTTTGAGCCTCCGAGGGGGGACCTGAATTTCCCCCCCCCCCCCCCCCCCTCCCCCCCCACACCTTTTTGAGCCATGGGGCCCAAGACGGCCCCAAGAGGTCCCCCAGACCTCCCCACAGAGTCCCAGGAGGACCCCTAGACCCTCCAAAAGAGCCCCAAGAAGGCCCCAAGACGCGCTTTTTGAGCCTTCGAGGGGGGGACCTGAATTTGCCCCCACCCTTTTTGAGCCATGGGGCCCAAGACGGCCCCAACGGGCCCCGCAGACCCCCCCAAAGAGCCCCACGAGAGGCGCCTAAAAAAGATTGGGGGCTGAGCATCCCGAAATAGCTGCTTTCAACGACCCGCGCGTACTCGGGATGACTAGCCGATCCCCTAAAGGGGGTCAACGCCTCCGGGGCTCAACGTTGCGAACAGATCGCGACGTCGGGGGTCTGGGACGGACGCGTTGTAGCGAACGCAGCAGGCACATGCGCACCATCACCATGCCGGGGCAGAGCCATTCTGGGCCCCGGCATGGTGTATGCACACTCCTGGCCAGCCAGGAAGGTCCATACACCATCCCGGGGCCCAGGGTCGCCCTGGCCCAGCATCGCAGCGTTGTGGCCCCATTCTGCGAACTGATGGCAAGAGAGTCGGACGGGCGCTGCTGTGGCCGTGCTGTTTTCATCTCCTTTGCTCCGTTCTGCAGCATAGATTGCACCGAAGGCGAAAGAGGAGGAACGAGGGAAGGACCATGACCTATGGCATCGTGACTTTTTCGGCGCAAGCGCTTGTTCCTGCGATCCTCTCGGGCCCGGCCTCAGGGAAGGGGCGGGAAGCCTCGGGACCCTGTATAGGACAAACCAAGTAAACAGCATCGTGGCCTGAGGAGGATGGGGGGCTCCTCCCGTCTCCCCCTTAAGTCTTCTCCTCCCCCTCCCCACCCTCGGCGGCGAGCCCAGGCTGAAGTGAGAGGGGGCGGGCTTTCTCAGAAGGCTCGGAAGTCCCCTGGTCTTCTGAAAAGATTTCTAAGCCTTTACCGAAGACGCAGGACCCTTCTTCGAAGGCGCGAGGGCATCTGAGAAACTCCGCCGCCTTCTGAGAAAACTTGCTCCTTCTCACTTCCCCACCTCGCTCGCCGCCAACAACCCCCCCATCCTCCGCCGCCTCCTCCTCCGCCTTCTCCCCCTCCACCTCCTCCGCCCTCCGCGCCCCTCGGATCTCTCCAAAGATCCATGACTGTGCAACCCGCCCACGCGTGCTCCTCTTGCAAATCGATGCTGCTCTGTCGGTAACAGGGAGGGAAGTCGGCGTGAATCCGACTCGCAATGCCAATACATCACTCACCCTCTACATCGCTGCCCCTGGCTCTCTATCCATATCCCTCTCTCCTGTTCTCCCTCTCTCTCTCTCTCTCTTTCTCTCCCTGCACATCTCGTCGATTCGTGCCCAGCAGCGCAAGACGAAGATGGGAAGGAAATCGGGGGAGATAATTTACATAATGCCCTTGACTCACTGCCCCACCATCATCAGCGCGAGGCGTCAAGGCAACAACCTGGCCACCACCCTCCAACGCATGCACCTTTTCCTCCTGTACATGCCCCCTATCCCTCCCGGACCGAACGACACACTGGTAAATCCGGCCTCGTCCCGTCCGCACGCAACTGTGAATTTGCTGAACGAAGCAGGAGAATACACGCAAATGGCGCACGTGAGCTCGCAAACACCATCCTGGCCCATCGGACACAAGAGCAATCAAGCCTGTGAGCGCCAGCGCTGATTCGCAAACACCGAGAACGCGCACAAGCCACATTGCACATTGGCCCCATACGAACCACGTACAAACTCGCAACGCAACGCATTGATCAGTCGCCATGGTGGCACACTGTGGCAGATTGACAAACGCCACTGGCATGCAATCGTCATGTATTTGCCTATCGAAACTCATCTCATTCACGCGTCAAAAATGACAATTGGTCTGCCAGACGGTATGCTGCCAATCTGCCAAGCAGGAGGCGCGCCGCGTACAGACAATATCACATATACAAAATTACTCCGACGGAAGGACCTCGCATGAGAATCCTCTGGGCGAATCTGGAAAAAAAACCCTCACCGTCGTCTTCGTGGTTGGTGAGGCGTCCTGGCTGTCTCTTCTGCGTATATTTCTTCTCGCCCTGGCGCGGGCCCTCCCCCCGCTCCCTACGTTGCCCCCGACCTCGCCCTCCTGTTTTGGCTCCGGACATCCAGAAAGTGGCCCGGGAGTGGTGTTCTGGGAACAAGATGAACACGAAGTGGCCTACAGTTGGCTCAGGGCATTCAAAATGTGGCCCAGGAATAATGATCTGGGAACACGAAGGACACGAAGTGGCCTACAGTTGGCTCCGGGCATTCAAAATGTGGCCTGGGAGCGGCGTTCTGGCAGCGCGAGAACCCAAAAGTGGCAACAATTATAAAAACTGGACGACCCGCTCGGATTAGTAACATGATCCGCGGGCCCCATAGGAAGGGGGCTCCCGCTTGAGACTTCCTCGCCATTCACTCACACATGTGGCCTGGGAATTGCGTTCTGGCAGCACGAGAACCAAAAAAAACGACAGTTACAGGAATTGGATGACCCGCTCGGATTAATAACATGATCCGCGGGCCCCATAGGGAGGGGGCTCCCGCTTGAGACTTCCACGCAATTCACTCACAAATGTGGCCTGGGAATGGCGTCCTGGCAGCGCGAAAACCCAAAAGTGGCGACAATTACAAAAATTTGATGACCCGCTCGGATTAGTAACGTAATCCGCGGGCCCCATAGGGAGGGGGCTCCCGCCTGAGATTTTCTCATAATTCACTCACAGACGAGGCCCACGGCGAGTGAGTGAGTGAGTGGGTGAGTGACTGACTGATTGACTGACTGACCGACTGGTGATGATGATGATCATCATCACATTATCTCACGCGCACACTCATCATCATCATGTGTGGGTGCTGACGAGTCAATGAGTGAGTGAGATGAGTGAGTGAGTGAGTGAGTGAGTGTGTGAGGGATGATGAGTGAGTGAGTGAATGAGGAATGAGTGATGATGATGATGGTGGGTTCCTGTTCCTGCGCGGGGTGTCCAGGGAAACAAGAACCCCACTTGGGATGTGGGGAAAACGCCGTTCGTAATGTATATCGATGAACCACCCGTAATACCACTACTGATACATACGTGTACATATGTATGTACGGATCGTGCAATGCATACAACTGGCTGTATATATATACGTGTATAGCTACATCGACCGATCTGTATATGTATATGTATGTATGATTGTATGTATGTATGTATGTATATATATATATGTATATGTATATGCAATGCAAGGGTCCGCGCGCACGGCCAGGGATGGCGATGACACCAGCGAGCGGGATAAAAAGAGACGGTGGCGAAACCCCCGCGCACGGGATATTTTGACAAGGCTAACGCATCGTGACGCCGAAGGCATACATATTCCAGATGATTTGCCAAACGAGCGAGGCTTATCATACAAAACAATTCGCAGCATTAGCAAACTCGATCACCCCAGTGAGGCGGTTGGGGGCGGAGGACGCTGCCAAAAAACTTGAGCACAAGTGCGATCGCGGTCGTGCTCAAGACAAGGCGCGAGGCACACTTAACTTCAAATACCACATGTTGCAAGGGCCCACGCGCACGACCAGGGATTGCGATGGTACCCGCGAGAACGATAAAAAGAGACGATGGCGAGAAGCCCCCGCGCACGGGATATTTCGACAAGGCTAACGCATCATGATGCCGAAGGCAGACATATCGTCAACATGATTTGCCAACTGAGAGAAGCTTATCTTGCGAAACAATGCGCAATAATAGCGAACTCAATCACCCCACGTTTCCCATATCGGCAGTGGTGAATAATCACCTCGACAACGGGCTGCCAAAACTGAACGAAGATTTGGCACAGAGTCTCCGTTTCACCTGAGCAGCGGTAGACAGCTGGGCGTTATACATCTTCGCCAGGTGGCGTGCGAGGAGGCCAGTCTTTTCGTAGCGGCGCACGCTGGCGCCGCACTTCCAACGGCCGCGGCGCTGCACCTCGGCGAGGGCGCGGCGCTTGAAGGCAAAGTCGTTCGACGCGCCTCCGCGCCTCAACGCGCGGGGGCACAGCCGCAGCCGCTGCGCGTCAGCAGCGTCAGCTAGCTTTTTGAAAGAGACCTCGAACTCACGGGCCGCGAACGGGAAGAGCGGCCTGGCGGGCGGCGCGGCCGCCTTGAGGTCTCGGAGAAGACAGGCAGCCCAGCGTCTGGATGCCGCGCCTGCGCCATAGGTAACCGCGTCGTCGCCCGCGCTAGACTCCACGGTCGCGGAGGGCGGGCAGTCCGATGGGGGCGGCTGACATCAGGGTAATCGAGACCCGGGGGTAAGCCGACGTCGCGGAGTGCCGGTGTCACGTGAAGTTGCAGGCCCTCACGCTCAGCAGTTCCACGAGCCGCAAGTTGCCGTCAAAGGCCGCTGCCGCGGCGGCCCCGAAGGCGCGCGTGCGAGGCATCGGGGATGCGGGGCCCTGGTCGATCATCAGCTGAGCGGCCCCCCAAGGGCAGGGGCCCCGCTGCCCCCCCGGCGCCGCCTTCGCGATGAAACCCTTGAGCGCGAGGCGGGCCCGGGGGAACTGCAGCGCGTCCTTCGGGTTGATTCGCGCGCTCCTCGAACGCGCGCCCGCGCAGGGCCGCGCGCGCAGCGAAGATCCCGCCCCCTGACAAGAAGATGTTCAGCAGGTAGTCCACCGCGCGCTCGCCCCCCTGCTGCGCAGCGCGCCGCTGGTAGCGGCGCTCGTTCCCGATGCGCAGCACCTCGGCGGCAGCCCAGGCGCAGTGCCGCTGCGTCGGCGGCTTCGCGCGGCGCCTCGCGAGAAAATCTTCGCGGGCCACGTCGTCGCGGTCGGCCCGCTGCCGGCCCACCGTGGCCCGAGGGCGGCGCGGCCGCGAGCTGGCAACTGGTGGCGCAGCTGGCCTGCTGGCCGAAACGGCGCCGGCGGTCGCGCTCGGCAGCCTGCGCGACGCTGTCGCCCCAGTCAAGCTGGTCTGGCCTCCGCTCCCGATGGCCAGCGGGCGGACAGACGGGGCCTGGCGCCCGCTCCCAGTCGGAGCACTTGGCCGCGCCTGCCAGACGAGCCCCTTCTCGGCATTTAGGACGAGAACCATTGGGGAGTCCTGCCGAGGGAGCGCGCGCGCAAGATGCCGGCCCACTTTCGAGCCAGCGCCTGCGGATACCGACCCGCGAGACGAGTCTTCCAGACTGTGCCCTGTCCAGGGCCCAGCCGTGCCGGGCCCTCAAGGACCTCGTGAACATGGCCACGGGGACAGCTGGACCCCGGGGCTTGGAGAAACTTCAGGTCGGTAACAAGCGTGGCTTCCGGTAGCGGCAGTTGAAATGGCAATGCTGCATGGTGACGACGCAATGTCGGTGACGGGATAGATAAGCTGCCGAAGACGGGATGGCGAGGGATCCTGGACTGACCATCTTACTTAGAACCGAACACAGAGGCGAAGTACGTTGATCGTGAACTTGACAGAGCCACGGCATAAGCAAAATGCGCGCCCTGGCGACGCGCCGGAGCGGCCCGGCTGAATGGGGTGCACGGCGTGCCGAGATGGACATGCCACGCCTCGCGGCGAACGATCAGAAAGCGGATCACTTGGATAACGCGCCACGACCCCCGCGAGATGTCGACCCGGGCCCAGCTTTGGAGACCCTCGTCGAGGCAGGCGGCCGTGGAGCTCCAGCGCGTGCCGCTGCTGGCGCCCGGCGCGGGGCTGAGCTGCGAGGCGATGCGGCCCTGCCCCGCCCGTCGTCAACGTCGGTCGCGGGTCCTACGCGCCTCCGCACTAATTTTTGTCAAGCGCGGTCGACGACTGTCGTGGGTGCAATACTCCTCCGCGCTTGTTCATATCAGTCGCGGTCGACGACTGTCGCGGGGCCAACGCTCCTCCGCGCTTGTGTAGATCAGTCGCGGTCGACGACTGGTTGGCCTCGGTTGACTCGGCCGGCAGGTCGCGGGCGGCTCCTCGCTGCGTCTGGCCTGGCGCCAGCTCGAAGCGGTCCGCCGCCCTGGAGTCGCAGGCGGTCGGGTTCCGCTTGCTCTCGAAGTAGCGGCGGTAGTGCCAACTGGCAAACGGGGTAGCTCCGGGTGCCAATGGCAAACTGCCGAGCCGCCGACTGGCGGGCGGGCTAGCTACCGTGGGACCGGTTTGGCACATCTGCCCTTCTCAAATGCCATAATCGATAAAAGGTTGTCGCCTATAGAGAGGGCGCGGCACCCATGGGCCGCCACCGACCGAGTGGCCCGCCCTTGGCCCAGCAAGGTCGCCCGGCCCTCGAGGACGTGGATGGGCGCCGCGAAGGGGAAGGCGCCGCGGACGACCACCTGCCATCGATGTGCGGCGAGGGCCGCGTCGGGAAAGGCCGGAATGCCGCCGCGGCAAGCCGCGGCCGCGGTGGCCTGGAAGTCAATCCTGCCGACGCGTCGGCGCCGCTCGGCGCCGCGCCCAGGAGGCGGCTGGCCCAGTCC